TCCAGACAACGATAACTCAATCCTCCCATAGCTTCGATGTCGTTGGCAGTAAGAATTACAATTTGATGTATAGCATCCGAACACCGAATGCAATGCTGCCGGAAATGTCTAGGGGTAAGAAAGCCGCGTCAGGACAGAATGATGGCGTTGGTGGATAAATATCGGAGAATGATGCGGACACGTTGGATGTCTTTCGGGTACTTTAGGTAATTGATAGAGTTTCGTTTTATGGGCTGGCAGTGGAGAGACCTGTGTATCTGGATAGGAAGCCACCATGTGACAAGACTATAGTCACCAGATTCTCAGTTGTCCAATACTGGTCCCCCATCTCTTTTTTTAGCCCATCTAATATAATGCTATTGGTCAAAATTGTGCGTAGATGCCCAATAAACAGTTAATATTAACTGTAAAAGTCGTAAAACTAATACTATTTTAGGAGAGAACCGAAAATTTTTCATTTTTTTCTTTCCACATTGTGTGCAAATTTCAACACTTACATGAATATCAGATCTATTTCTGCCATCAGCGAGCGCTGCTATGCGAGTATAAAAGTTATTTGAAACACTAACAAACATATTTATTTATTTATTATTATTAATTAATATTTGTTTCAGAAACTCCACGTGTGGCGTTGAATTTGTTTGCATTGCACAAGGCGTCCCAATAAGGCAAAACTAGTAATATTCGTACATTTACCAGAGGGCAAATCCATTGTTTAAGTTTGAATATCATCGTTTCCCATACCTCTTTCCTCGTTATAATACATTACCTACTTTCTTTTACAAAATTTTTCTCATAGCAGCGGGGTAAAAATGGCATATCGATCTAAAAAACAAGCGTCGAGGTCAAGTATAGTAATATCACCGGCCATGAGCCGTGATAATTCTCGAGAGGGTATTCCTTATGTAAGCTTTTTTGATAACCAAGTTGGGATAAATTGTTCTTTATGAAGCGTTGAATAATGTTTCATATGGCATATATCTAAATGTTAATCCTACATCTAATCTGCCCCTCCTATGCTCACTTGTCGTTCTTCACTTTGATCAGACTTCTCATAAAGATATAGATCATGGATCTTCTAGAAAAGCCCGACATAGTCGAAAATCAGAGAGTCTACCAAAAAGTGATGGAACGGTTGCATCTTTACGACCAACCCAAGCCCTGACTGTCAGAGAGAATTTTGTTGTTGAAGAAGTTGCACGATTGATGGCTGCTAAGCGGGCAGACTGTGTTCTTGTAATAGATAGCGAAGAGCATTTATCCGGAATATTTACTGCCAAGGATCTGGCATTTAAAGTGGTCGGAGATGGCATGGATGCTAAAACTACGACAGTGGCGCAGATAATGACCAGAGAGCCGAAATGTGTGAAAAGTGACACTTTGGCCACTGATGCACTTGATACCATGGTTGGCCGTGGATTTAGACATCTTGTGAGTGATACCAAGTCCTAACAAGATCTGTGACAAAACATCCATGTTATATAGCATGTGTGCTTATATACGATCGTTTAAGCAGGACTGACACTATTGCAATCCCACTTTTTATCTATCACAGCCTATATGCAATGAAGAAGGTGACGTAGTCGGTCTATTGGATATAACAAAATGCCTCCACGAAGCACTTGAAAAAATGGAACGTGCTTACGGTTCTTCCCAAAAACTATATGCTGCTCTTGAAGGCGTTGAAAAAGAGTGGTCGAACCAGCCACCACAAATATTGCGATATATGGGAATTCTACGAGAGAAAATGGCATGTCCCGATTTGACCACCGTTCTTGACGGCAGACCCCCTGTCGAAGTCGGTCCCCGTACATCCGTTAAGGAAATAGCTCGACTGATGAGAGAAAATCATACGACGGCAGTTTTGGTGATGGAACGTGGAACAATATCCGGTATCTTTACCAGTAAAGATGTCGTCCTTCGTGTCATTGCGGCAGGATTGGATCCCTCGAAATGTCCTGTAGTTAGAGTTATGACACCACATCCAGATACTGCTCCTTCGAGTACGAGTATTCTCGACGCTTTAAAAAAAATGTATGGTGAGTACAAGTCTAAGTTATTGCCCGACAGTTGGGTGGTCACCATGATGCAATGGATGTTATCCACGGCTTATTAACTTCTTACTAGCAAGTAATTCGAAGATATTAAAAAATTAATTCATAACTCTGTACTATTTCTCATATATAACCTGTTTCGTAGACGGCCACTACCTCAACCTCCCAGTAGTAGACGAAGGGAATATCCTGGGCATGGTTAACGTCCTTAGACTGACTTATGAAGTAATGGGGCAGGTATGATTGTCGATAAATTTTAATTTGCAACCTTGATTTGAATACCCTATCCTTGTGAGGTATCGTGTTGTGGCATTAAGTAACCCATTTATTAATTACCTACATCCTATTTTCTAGATTTATTCGATTGAAGGTCAAGATAATAACAGCAGACAGACATCAGGTCCAATGTGGAACCACTTTTGGGAGGCCTTAACCAATGATGGTGATGATGCGTCTGCATTATCTGATTCTATTTCACCTTCTCAAAGTGCATCCAACATCCCTCCTCCATCGCCTAATTCAAGAGTGTATGGGTCTGGCAGAGTTTCACCTGTTCCGGAAATACATCCCAGCGAATCTGCGTCTGCTATTGATGATGGATCATATGCTTCATATCCTAGAATTCACGATCATGCCTACACATTTAAATTCACCTCACCTGATGGAAAGAACCATCGTTTCACTGTCGATTTTACCAGGTTTGATAACATTAGGGAAGCCGTTGCAGCCAAACTACCGAAAACCATGAAGCATTTTTCATTATCATACATCGATGATGACAACGATCAAGTATTAATGGCGACGGATGAAAATGTGATTGATGCCGTGCAGATTGCTCAACGACAGGGCGCTTCTAGAGTTTTGCTGTTGGTACAAGAAGTAGACAAGTCACGGGCAAGAGATTTTAGTAGTGACGAGTCGGAAGAAGAAGAGATTAAAAGGCGTAGGAGAAAGAGAAGATCGAAATATGATGACGATGATCTTCCGATTTCTCGAGAATTGCTGATGCCTGCTGCTATAGTTACGCTCTCTGTGGCTATAATCGCCGCGTTTGCCATCTCAAAACTATCGAGATGAAGATAGTCAAGTATGAGTTATTATTAATGGCTGGATATTATTATTGTAGACAATGGAAACATTAATACAAATGTTGATTATCTTGGTTACCGGGGGTGTACAATTTTGGTAATAGTTTAATACAGATCTATTTGATTAGATCGGAAAAGCCATAATTAAATACCACTGCTTTAACATAATTTTCGAGAATATAAGAAATAGTCGCCTTACACTACTCATATCTCTTTGCCTGAAAATCAGGTACCTTTCCTAGTGAAAGGAATTTTGGAAAGAAAAAATAAGAAGAAATAAAAGCGATTCCCTAATAAGGTTGGGCGGGCAATTATACACCTAAAATCTTTTCTCGACAGACTTTTGACCCGTTTACAAGGACAAAAGGTTTAGCTTGTATTATGTTATTTCCCTCCACTTTTAATTAACCATTTATATATAGAACTGAAATCCTTCTTAGCATATTCTGCTGTATTAGCAAGTTGATTGTATAATTGCTGTGCAACAGCACCCAATAATATAGTCACACGAGCATCGCTGGCAGCACTCACAGCTAATCGCAAGTCTTTCGCCATTAGAGTATTGCCGAATCCACCTTCATAATCACGACTAGACGGAACATTAGGCATGACACCTGGACAGGGATTGTAAGTGTCACTAGACCAACATCTACCGGACGATGTGTTTAATATCGACGCTAATAATTTAGGATCCATTCCGAGTTGAATACCGAGGTTCATGGCTTCAGATACACCTATCATCGAAATAGCAAGAAGCATGTTGTTGCACATCTTTGCTATTTGGCCTGTCCCAACGGTACCACAATGGACTATATTCTTGCCCATATGAGACAATATTGGCTTGGCGCGATGGAAATCCGATTCAGATGAGGCTCCAACCATAAACGTCAATGTGGCTGCTTCCGCTCCAACAGTGCCTAGATGACAGAATTCCGTTATTAACCGATTCTAACCCGCATGAAAAAAAAATATATATATCTGTTCTTCTTAAATACCTCCAGACACGGGTGCATCGACCATAGTGGCGCCTTTTCCCGTTAACTTGTGAGCTACTTCCTTGGATACGCTCTGATGAATTGTACTCGAATCAATCAGCAGACTCTCTTTATCCGCACCGTGCACGAGACCATCCTTTCCCAAATAGACTTCCTCCACATGCGCTGAAGATGGAAGCATGGTAATGACGACCGATGCCCTACGCACTATGTCGACAGGCGATTCTGCTATGTCAATTGATTTTAGTGTTGCATCCGTGGCAGACGTTTTATTCATCGAGATGAAATCTTGAGTAGCTGATTTGTTAATATCGTAGATAATCAACGAAGAATCGGCTTTGTTATACAAGTTTTGCGCCATTTTGAATCCCTTTACAATAAGTGAATATTGTCAGCATACGAAGCGTGCACGTTCTCGCCGACAATAATAGAATTACCATCTGTCCTAATCCAATAAAGCCAACGCTATTTGCCTTTTTGGAGGATGAAAATTCTTGTTAATAATTATTCATATTGACTTTATAAACGAGTCTTGACGAGCAATTACCTTGCCTAGGAAACGACGAACGAGAATGATGAAACCAGTTAATCATGGTCAAGACTATAAAGACAGAAACGGGATACATAAAGGATAAATTTTATTACTGGAATAACATCGAGTTCCATATTTCACGAAAACTCGCGAAAATTTGCAAGCCGAACGTAACTTTGTAATATTAGTTAGCATCTTGAGAGTTGTTTGAATAAAAAACGTATTATAATTTTGTCCACAATGGTATTGATCATCAGATATCCCACGGAGATTGACAGTCACTCAAAAGTTGAGGCGGCGAGTGTTTATAAATAAAATCAATGCGTATGACGTAAATAAAAGCAATCTTCGGCGAACAGATTTCAGGGGTTGTGCAACAACGACCGTTTTTCATATTGTTTTCCTTTCGTGGTAGCTATAATTATAGTACTTCCGTTGCTTCAAAGGACAATCCTTCGTTCACGATCATGTCATGCTCTTGTTTCTTACATATAATAGTCGAGAATCAGGTAGAGTCTTGATAAGGACGGAACTTTATGACCAACTAACAATTAAACTCTAATTGGATACCTCCATAAAGAAATCGCCACAGAATAACATTAGAAACGAGTTAAATAAACTCTCAAAATTATGAGAGTTAATAATGACTTCTGATCTATTTCGCTGACATCATCAATTTCAGGGAATTGTATTTCTTCATTGTAATTGATACCATACCTGCAGCTGAATCCAAATCGTAGGTAATTCTTCTGTAGTAGGTAAGAGCTTACTAGAGTATTTACTCTCCTTTTCGAGACGTGATGAAGGTTTTACTGTTATGATAAATGGTAAGCCATGCGTCGCTGTCAGAATACACGTCTTTAATAAGGCTGCGAATATGATCGAAAGTATATTTGCATCTGGACGCTGGTTCACCAGTGGCAATTAAATACATAATAATACCAAAAGAATATACGTCTGATTTCTGGGAAAATTTGCAAGTATGGAAGACTTCCAGTGCAATAAAAAGTAAAACGCCTCGAATGATTGAATTTTGTTTACGTGAATTCACCGATTGAGAAAGACCAAGATTGCATATGAAGGGTGCCTCGACATGCATAACAACGTTTCCGCCATGAAGATCACAATGCACTAATACCACTTTATGAATATTTTGCAGGTAATAGCAATGTACTGAAAACAATATAATTTATCCACCCATTTTAACGCTGATGAAACCGCGCTATCTTGGCATATAGAGCCAACGCGAACCTTATCAACTCGGCCTGTTTCTGGCACAAAAAAGTCTAAAGAACGTATCACAGTTTTTTTGACTTGTAACGTAACGGGCGAGGAAAAATTCTCGTCTCTCTTAAGTTCGAAAATCCTCGCCCAATCAAATTAAGTTACCAGTTTGGTATTACTGGAATAAAAAAGCGTGAATGCAAAGCTATTATCTTAACAGAATTTGGACAAAATTATAAAACTTTACAAATATGCAGTATGGCGACTTTTATGAAATTAAAGAGATGGTTATGGAACAGTCTGTACTGCCAAATATAAAAACTATTCAACAGATGATATTCCAGAAACTGTTGTGCTTAAGTGTTTCAAGGGATTTAATGAAACGCCGGAATTATTTATTTCTGAAATAAGCAATTGTTGATATAATTAATCATAGTATATTTAATCCGACTCTGAATTTATTTTGTAAGATTGTTATGCAATTGCTAATAATGGTAGTCTTTTGTCTTATTTAGTTCAAAATATTAATAAATTGACGTGTGCACAATTCGTAAGCAGGAGTGATTTCTCGTGCACTGTTTCCCTCGCCTATACGGCGATATTCTTTAATGTGATTTCGGTTCTTGAAATTTTCCGCAATCCGTTTGAGCCATTAAAATCGTGAATGCCAAGACGTGTATCAAACTCACGGGCCTTTTCAAGTAGACACTGACTGATTGTCGTTTACTGCATTCTCCAACCATATCACCAAATTTGGAAATTTGGGTACTTAATTATTTTTGCTGTTGGGAAGGTGCGCATCCAATGATAACCGGTAGAAGGACTAATTGAAAACTTCTCCGCAAGTTCTTGATTTAATATAAGCGCGTATTGAATAGTTTTTTCTTTTGTAGTCCCGTTAAAGTCTTTCTCGTAATTGATCGGAGTTTTTTACTATCAGATAGTGAATTAGATATATTCTTACACTTATTCTATAAATAGTAAATTATTTGATTTAAAGAGGCAAATCTTTAACTAATCGCTTGAGGTTGAAGTGTGAGAGAATTCTCTTTTTATCGAGGGCTTATAATAAAATTTATATTATGGAGGTATTTTTGATGCAAAAAATTCGGGGCGAAAAAATTCTTTATCTTAAGAGTGATTTTATCTTATTTTATCGAGTTTGACTATGTATATGTAAAGTCCTTATTATTGAAGAAAAGCATGAGATGGGAAATATGCCAAGTTGAGTACAATCCCATATTGATTTACTGAATTAAGCCAGACGCCAAACGTGATTGTGAGATTCGAAAATCAATCATGGTCAAGCTACTTGTGCTACTACACTAAATACACGTGTCTATTCATGGGCAAATGAACCCGAAATCAGGCATTACGTGCGTGATTCACTTGAAATCTTAATTATCCGTTGATTAGATAGAGCCTGTTACAATGGTTTTCAGAATCAGCTGTAACAATGTCTTTGATGCCAATCCGGCAGACAAGCTATTAACTGTCTTGTAACACGCGTATGTACCATAAGCTGACAGCAAGTGTGATGTTTCAATAGACACGGACACGATTTTTAGAGCATAAGAAATTGAATATGAATATAATATGCATTAAAATACATAATGATGAGCGTATGTCATTGATTATTACAATAAACATACATCTCTGATGACATGAATGTATAAATTCATCCCTGTTTTCTGTCTCAATATTTGTCTTTAACCACTACTGCACAACAAACTCGCAAATTAAATACTTGTAACTCTCGCCTTTTTAGTTCTCCTCATTACAGAATTAACAGCAAAGATAGTAATAGTTGTATTTAAAAGGGAATTTTACTAATCACTTCCCATCCCAATCCCCCTTGCTTTGGTTGTAAAATCACATAGAAAGTGCTCTTGTGATTTCAAGCCAATTGATTTGAATTATTGTCCATGTTTTATCAATAAGGTTATTAATGAGAATACTATGCAATGAGCAGTTAATGGTTGCTCAGGTTCAGATCCTCGAATCGTTTGGGAAGTTCTTCGTGCAACGATGAGACTTTCTCGCCGGATGCTGTTGACGAAGCAAATATTAAAAGATAATAGTATTTGTTAATAGAATAGATAGAGCGAAAAATTCAAAACTTTTCCAAATATTATTTCATACGCACATCTCCTACGTTCACGTCGCAGTCTCTCCAAGATCTCTCTATCTACTTTACCCATTGACATACCTACAAACATAAAATTAGTTTAAAAAAAATGCAACGTCATAATAAAAAACCATTGGAAAAAAAAAGCATACTTCTTGAGATATCCCTGCTTCTAGCAGGTGTCCGTTGATCTATTTGTCTGTTTTTCCCTTTCCCCGTCTGGCTGCTGCGCTGACCTTCGCTTGGCTTACTCGCCGTTGAAGCCGCATCTCCCTTTGATGCTACAAAGCAAACAGGAAATATAGGTAAATAGTCAGTCAAATTATGGGCAGGTTAAAAAGAATAACGCTTGTAGCAAGTGTATACTTTACATTGCTTTCTAAGCATGATACTAGTTTCTCCTGTGGCAGGGTCGAAAAACATAAAAGTATCCGAATTCCTGGGTTCAGGTAGTTTTGGGAAATGAAGCAATCGACTAGTGTAAAATGCCTGCGGATGAGCATTTGTCGGGGTAGTTGGAGATTTGACAGGTATCGACTTGGCGTTCCTTCTTTTAGGTCCTTGAAATGGTGCTGTGCCATCCGGAAGGAAGCGCCACTTGTAAGAAGCGACCAATAATTCGGAAGCTTGAGGTCGTCGTGATGGTTTGGCATCCCAACATCGAAGCATAGCAGCCATGTAACCTTTAGGTGTGCCATCAATGATGGGCGGCCGCAGTCCGTTACAGACATCAAGAGCAAGCGTGTAATCATGAGCACGATTGGCGAACGGAGGTTGATTGGAAGATAGCTCCCACATTATCATTCCAAGACTGTATATGTCTGCTTTCATTGTATAGGGTTCACCACGAAGAACTTCAGGTGCTACATATGGGAGTACGCCGTATATATCTGCATCTGCTGATTCGTTCACTGGCCGACACATGCCAAGATCAGTTACATATACAAGCTTTTCATGTCGGAGGATATTTCCGCTAATCGAGCGACACAGGACAAAGTGAAATAGTCAGTCATAAGAGTTTGTAAATACATACTGATGAATCATATGTGTTCTTATAATACTTTGTCTCACATTACGTAAACACAGGTCAATGACATTATAAAAAATTTTTTTTACCAGTGAAAATCGCGATGTACTAATCCAGCATCATGGATCTCCTGTAAACCCTTTGCTACTTTCTCAAATAATGAAATCTTCTGTTCCCATGTCAAATCACCAAAGTACTGGCCGAGATACATACGTAGATTGCCATGGTCAGCATATCGCATGACCATTACGTATCTGTCGGTCGTTGGATCTTTGCTTACACCATAACAGTCGATAATTCCAGACCCAAGACTACATCGATGATGAGCGCGAAGCTACATTGGAAGAGGTATGTTATTACGCGTAAAGGCTGATGGTATAAACATGGACATGTGTATGTCTGTGTCTGTACGTATGTATGTACGTATGTTTTATTTATAATACAACGATATTAACTCACCTCATCCAAAAATTCTTTTGCTAAGGTCTCAGAATTATCCAAAAACTTCAACGCTACTTTCCCCAAAGCTTGTGAATTAGCAGAGAACACAGATCCAAACCCACCCTTTGCAACAAACTCGACATCTGAAAACAAATCGAACTCGATCCATCGCATAAAATCAAGCGGTGTGTTGGCACTGGACTGCGTCTCTTGAATAAATTTGTCCAACTCCTCGTTTCCACTAGTCCATGTACCAAATTGTTCCTCCAGTGCCTTGGTATCGCATGGTTTGCACCATCCTATCGATGTGCGTGCTTTATTGCATGTAGGACATCTGTTTGTTCCTTCGGTTGCAAACTTGCTACGTCTGGATGTTCGAAATGCATCGTTTGGTATATTTACGTGAGCCTCTTTTGCTATTACACGCATAGGAAAAAAAAACCAAAATTTAATTTGCTGTTGATGGTTATATAACAAGAAGAGAAACCAGAACTTTACCAAGAGATCTCAGTATCTTTGCATAATCTGCCATGTTAAGACTACTTTAGAATTAAACTTGCGACACCGTTAGAGGTGAAAACGGAATTGACAGAATTCGACACTGCTACCACAAAGATAAAAAGCAAAGACCATCAAGATTGATATGTTGCAGCTTTCCTTATTAATCGATCATTTTGTGGCAGCTTGTTTGTTAGTTAGATTCGTTACTTCTTGAGCTACAAATGGCAACTGTTTAGCTGTTGTGTTGAGTAACATTGGTCTGTCATTGAGCTCTTTGGCAATTGCCCAACCCTTGTTGATCCCATGATAAGAATTTGGTGGAACAACGGTTGATGAACGAGCCAACCAATTTTGGATTGGGGATATGGGGGGCGTTTTTTTTGAAAAGTTTGACATTCGACTATAAGTTTTGAGCCAATGGTTACATTTGGGAGGGGAAAAAAAAGGGGGAGGTTTGTGGTTGGCGTAAAACATCGTGTACGAAAAATGTCAAAATTTTCAAAAAAAGGGGAAAGGGAAAGAAACGATGATAATAACAACAACAAAGTATGTGCGTTCGGCAACGGGACTGGGAAGAAAGGCTCGACATGTACGATGATCGATTATTGCCCTTGTGATGAACAAGAATTGCTTTCTCCGTCTATTGTTTTTCTCCCTTCAAAATGTCGGAATCGACGGGAAATCAATGCTCATTAGACCACGTGATACCAAATAAGGAAATTGATGGTTGCATGTTAGCTGATTTAGGAGGTCTTTCTGCGAAAAGCACGAGCATATGTGGCTGAAACGACGTTCTTTCCTTCACAAATACAAATCTTAAACCTTTTTTTTCTCACGTTTTAAATCCATGGCAGGAAGGTGGCACAAATCATCCACCAACGTTTGTATCCAGAGGTTAGCGTTTAGTCTTTAGATATTCCGGGCGAATAGTTTCACACCGCTTGGTGAGAAATACCTATGAAATCACGTGTACAACCAATTATTCAGAATAACGAAGATAAATGAAGCTGTGATCCCAATTTCCATTTAAATTTTTTTATAGTCATTGTTGGACACTATTTGGGCCCGCTTCTTCATTCTCAGGAGTTTTTCGGACAGCCGTAACAATTACAACATTATAAATCCAACGGGTTATCTCTTACTCTGTATCAAAGCT